ACGACGTCTGCGTGGGCATGTCGACGATCGGCGAGGACGACGTCGTCGCCGCGGCGGCCGTCGACGACCTCGAGGTCCGCGCGGGCGGCGCCGGCGCGGCGCACAGCCTGCCGCCCCTGCCGCGCGCCGCCGGCGGCGGCGCGGCGTCCTTCGCGGCGGGCGCGGCGTCGGCCGTCGTGCTCGCGCGGACGCACGTGAGCCGCTTCGACGGCGGCCGCTACGCGCTCGACGCGGCGAGCGAGCGCGGCTGCCTCACGGCCGCCACGGACGGCGGGGTCGCCGCGGCCGGCGGCGGCGACGACGCCTACGCGCCCGGCTTCGACGTCGTCGTCGCGGGCCGCCTCAAGTGCACGGTCCGCGAATGCCTCGGCGCGGGCTCCTTCGGCGCGGTCTACCGCGCGGCGGGCCCGCCGCGCTGCGGCCGCCGGCGCGACTTCGCGCTCAAGGCCGTCCGCGCGGCGGACCTCGCGCCCGCGCGGCGCCGCGCGCTCGAGCGCCGGCTCACGACGGAAGCCGCGCTGTCCATCAGCCTCGGGACGCACCCGCAGCTCGTCGGCGTGCTCTACCTGCTCCCGAAGCTCGCGAGCGTGCCGTCGACGGCCGGCGGCATGCTCATCGCCATGGAGCTCGTCCGCGGCTGCGACCTCGGCGCCGCGCTCGCGGGCGCGGGCGCGCTCTACGCGGGCGGCGCGGCCGCCGCGGGCGCGCGCGCGTCGTCGCTCGCGCGCCAGCTCCTATGCGGCCTCGCGCACATGCACGCGCGCGGCGTCATTCACCAGGACGTCAAGCCCGCGAACCTGCTCCTCGACGCGGCCGGCAAACGGCTCCGCGTTTCCGACTACGGCCTCGCGGCGTTCACGACTGTGTGGAATTCAAATCTTCAACCCGACTTCAATATGAGCGTATGCGACAGTTTCGACGCAATCTCTTCGGCTGTGCTTCGAGAACTCGACGAGAGCAATCGATTCGTCCAAAAATCAGCCGAATCGACTTCGATTTGACCGAGCTAGAGAATTCTCAAGTTTGGTCAGGACCACCCAAACCAGTGGTTGAATTCCACACAGGTTCACGACGTCCGCGCGCGGCGACCCCTGGGTGCCCGCGTTCGCGGGCCGCGTCGTCCGCG